CAATCCCTGGCCATAACAGCCTATCCCTCTCACCCGCCACGCGATCCCTGAACTCTTTGTCGACTCCCAACACATCCGCCGCTTTCACGTAATTTGTGTACAAATCCCATACAATCTCTTGATTATAACTACAGCCGTCCTCATGGGGTCCGTGTTCTGGTGACCACCCGTGAGGGACAACCAGTTTTCCCAACTGTTGTTTAGTGCCGTTCGTCACAGTCTTTAGCAACTCGTCCCATAACTCGGACACCTCTTTCAGGTAAGGATAGGCCACGTCCTTTAGATATGTCTTATCCATTCCGAACGCGTAATGTTCCCAAAAGTGTTGCGCATACCTGTGCTCGATATAAAAAATTATTTTTGTTAAGTTACTTTTCTACATTATTTATGGACCCGTATCTACAGTATCGGGCGTTGGAACTGAATTAGTCATTAAATATTGTTTATTGGAACTATATTAAATTAAAAACCCATTATTTATTATAATTTTCATACCAAGCAGAATTTGTCTTATCGCCATCCAATCCTCCCATTCCTCCGTAGATGTTGTGCGAGGAGACGGCCACACCTTTTGTCACGTGTTTGCCCAGTGGTGTCAGTAAGTCCTTTGAAGCTCGAGTACATTTGCGCCATACATTCAATTGACTCCGGATCATATTGAATAGTGGCAAATGGCATTCAGCAAGGTTAACTGTCTCCGGAGGCCAGTAGTTCATTTGTGCATTAATGTTAGTGTGATAGTCCGAGTGCCAGGCCGGGGTATTGTTGTCGTTCCATAGACCCTGATCATATGGATATTATTTATAATATTAATAGTTATTTATAATGTATGTGATATTACAATTTACATAAATGAATGATTGGAAACATTTTATGACTGACCTGTAAGTTTGCCGGAAGACTCGTTCGCGACGACGATATCATGAGATACCTTCCGAATTGGAAAAACATTTCCTCGAAGTCCGGATCGAATGTCGCGACCGCTTCGACCTTCCGTTTGTCAGTCGATAACGCCGTCTGTTGTGCCGACGACTGACCCAAATCCACGTCCACTCTGTTGAACAACGAGTGGAAGTCCGACAAGTGTTCCGTCCGTAAGCTTTCATACGATTTAATGGATGCCTTTGTGACCCAATCATTGACGTGAACAGCCGGGTCTTCGCCGGACTTAAACTTCTTCGAGTCGTCGAACACATAGTCAGTACCGGCGCTAACGATGAGTGTCAGGGCGTCGCAGCCGTTGAACTCAATGACAGTGCCGTTCACTTTGAGACTTCCGCCCGTGTGTTGGGCCAACACTTTCCACGCAAACCGCAATCCATTCACTAGTTTGCCGTCCACTGCGATCGTATTGTCCACCGCATGGACGGCCACTTTATGTGCGTCCTGTAGTTCAATACGTCCGGTGTATGCCTTTCCCTTGTCGGCGGTTAACCGGCCGACCAATACCTGCGACACATGACTCACAAAGTAGTCGCGTTTGTATTGAACGCCATGTGATTCGTACTGAACGGTCGTAACCGCGTCCCCGATATCCAGCGCTCGCTTGTACTGAGTGTTGACCTTATGATCGGGTAAATCGACGACAAGACTACCCAAAGTCTGGTAATCGCCAAAACCCGGGCCGTGATAGTCTTGGGTCGGGTTGTCATCGCCCGTCCATAAAGTAATGTCATTCATATTTATTCTCTCTTTTTCTGTAATTTATAAATACCCGGGATATTCCGAAAAATAATTTTAAAAAATAATTTCTTAATATAGTCAATAACTCGTACTAATTTTAAAAAACATGCGCAAGCGGAATTTTTAGGAACGTGAATATAAAGCTATAATACATTCATTTTCTTTTATTTAGAGTGATTTAAAAAAAATATATTTTTAATATAACAATTGTTTTTTCGAACTTAAACTCAAAGTTTATTATTAATAATTGCATAAATAATTATTAATAAATTTTAAAATTATAGTTTTTATGACTAACCCGGGTGTCCATAAACCAGTCCACCTATGCGTCCATTACCGATAGGCAGGGCCTCATTCATGCCGTCCGCGGCCGGGCTTTCATACCAAAACACTTTGTCACTCGCCCGGACACATGTGACAAATACCTGGATAACAACTGGAAATAGTATCCAATTCATTTTTATTAAATGAATTAACTTAAACTTAAAAATATACTTCTCTTTTTATATTAAATCCATCAAGGTTATATTTATGAACATGTGAACTAATTCACAATAATTATGATTATATTTTAAGTTATTTATCATTGTACCGTTAAGTAATACTGGTAAGCTGTTTGTGATAAAATATTTTAGGTATGCACGACCTTGTTTAGATAATAAATATTCTTTATCACAAACAACACAACACTAACAAAAGTTTAACACACAAATAAACTGTTAAATTTAATGCACCCTATTTACTTGGTAATATTTTGTACTGTAAAGGCTTGTCTAACATTTCTCTATATTCGGACATTTTGGGGATTATAGTTAAGTATCCCTGATAAATGTGCATGATACAGTATTCTAGGTACATTCAGTTGAATTGAACTAATTAAATAAAGTATTTAAAGTTCATGAAATTGAACTAGCATACTACTGTATTAGGTAATCATTTAATTATTTCAAAAACTGATGTAATGCAAGTATAAAGTACATTTAATAAATTACATAAACCTGTTTTTCATACGTTTACTAGTAATTAAATATCAATCTTAAAGTTAAATCACAAATATAATATTTTTAAATAAATATAAAATAAAATATAATACAAAAACATTTTTCTAATTTTAAACACTGTATATACACGTTCGTATCGGTAGTAATAAAATATAAAATTTTTAATAGTAAACCAATGCAAGAACTAAGCTATTATGAGTTTTACAAAAATTTGAACATTATTTTCAACCTCATAAATTTGACAAAAGTACCCTGTTTGATGCCTTATGTGTTGTTTGTGACTGTTACATGTACTCGCATATCAGTTTTTTATTGAACATATTAATTTATTTTTACATCAAAATTTAATATAAGCTAAATGTGATATTAAACACTTACATAATTAAACATTTTTGAATCCAACATACTATTAAAATTGGCAATCAATAAAAATTAATTAATTTTATTAATAGGGTGTGTTAATATTAATATTTGTTGTCATAGAGTTTTATTTTCTAATAACAATATTATTTCTAATAATAGTTTATACCTACGATGCGCATACATTGTGATCCGGGCCATAATAACAGTGACAAAACAGTGACTATTATAACATTAGTCAGTATTGAGATTAATGTTAAAATGTTGAAAGTGTTGTCACTCATAGTGTGGCCCCAAATGGCTCCAGTGTGCTGAGTAGGTTTATACCATATCTAATTCATACAATTTGCAAGTATTATAACATATTTTGCATATTATAATCCATTTCAAATATTTATTTTTGACTTTATAAAATTATGTTCACATATAAACTAACCTTAATAATTGTAATACTTAAATCAACTGTTCTCGCTGAACTTCCCGCTGGGTTACGCCATAACCAAAATTTGGTGGATTCAGTACTGGGTCCTAAATATGCTACTGATTGTTTGAAAAGATTATCATGCTACATTAAACCAGAAAATTATTCCATCAACGTCATGTGTCACACATTGTACCGGCAACTTGATTGTGTTAAAGGGAACTATGTTAGTTTTTAATTAATTGTTTTATAAACGCAGTTCAATTTAAAACAATTTGCTTGTTATAATTTGAATATGATCAAATCAACAAAATGTGTAACGTACGTATTTGTTATATACATATTTAAAAAATAGTAGTTTATATGATCATAGTCAAATTATTACAGGAATTATTTGTTTCAAAGTACGTTCCGCTTATTGTACAAAATTTAATATATTTTCAAATGTCCTAGTGGAAATGTTCGAGTGAGGAACGAAAGTACGTGGATCGTTTTTGGGATAATATTTGTCTGGTGCATAATGGTCACGAGACACAGTTCACTCGTTTATATTGCCTAAATAGGGGCGTTATTGAGCCACGTAATTTTAGCGGAACATCAACGTTTCATGCTACTCTATTTTTTATATGAATTTTGCTTGTTAATTATCTACTGTGAGAGTAATTCATATAAAACACACATACTTTAACACAGGTTTATTTGTATACTTCATCAGATATAACCCAGGGCCAATGTAGTGATGTCAATACGGTTTGGTGTAACTGAGCCTGATCTATTATTTGACCCATTAGCATTACACCAGTTTTGAACCTTCATTTCATGTTCAAAACCGGTGCTCAACTTTATATTATACAATGAACCTGTATTTTAGTTGTTTTCCATAATATAGGGGCTTGTATAATATAAAGTTGAGCACGGGGAGGGGACAAAATTTATCACATCCCTGTCCAATGACTAGTCTATTATAATTATTATTAATTATAAATAATTATCTTAGTATACATGTAGTACATCTATTATTAATTAAACATGATTTGGACAGAGAGAGAGAGAGAGAGAGAGAGAGAGAGAGAGAATTTATGAAAAACCCTGATGAATTAATCATTATTTAATCATTTAAATATATAACTAGTTTATCATTTGAAATATTCCGGTTTATAATATTTAATAAAAATTAAACCCTATTGACAAATATATTTGGCTATTTATTTTTATTATCATTGTACTTATAAGCCTAATGTGCATCAAGGTAATTCGACTGTTTATGGAATATTAGTTAATTATAAATTCATATATTTGTGCAAAAAATACAAACATCTTAACCAAACCTAGACTTAAAATGAAGTGATTTTTAGATTGGATTCTATTGTTATGATATGTTTTGCATGAGAAACACAGATCTCAATGAATGTATTGTGTATTTCATAGGAAATCATATATTAATATCAAGTCTATTATCATAAAAAATCTCAAGAATAAAATTCTTGAAATATAATTATTTGGAAATGTAGTATAATAAACAATTTGATAAATTATTTCATGTGCATTGTTTCACATACTTTATAGCAATCTCTTAAATAAACTATAATTGTGTAATAAAATTAGTGTGAAATCTATGTAAAAAATGTAAGGGCACATATATAAGAATCTTCAATAAGTTTTGGGTTGACTAAATGTTTAATAGCTCGGTTATTACTTGTAGCTAAAATCTGTACTATGGCACACTTAAAGTTCATTATGAGGTAGCCATGATAAAACAAGAATATTCTGTATTACACCCGG